GATTTCAAGTCCCAAGAGCTCATTACATACTACCGTGTTGCAAAACCATAACATGGCACTAGAGGATCTTCCAAGTCCTTAGAGTTTTGGACAGAGCAAAGGTTCTCCAAAGGAGACTTAGGTTAGGATGCTTTTACCAGTCAAGTATTTGGTAACTACAACTGCAAACTCCATGCCAGGGATGGACAATTGGGACTCTCAGTCACTATTTTATTAGCAAACTCCACAGACAGCATGAAAGCACAGCCAAATCTAGTTAGACCTGTCTGCCTAACAGCAGCCACTAGTATTTCATAGCCCCAGCTGGGTCCTTGGGTGTGGAAGCAAGTAGAGAATGTATATAGTTTGGTGTGTGTTGATTTATTCAGCCCATTAAAATAAGTTAAACAGCAAGCCTACCTCCTCTGTGCTGGCGTCATCACTTTTTCTGCTACGTCTTCAAGTGGACACATCCCTGGTTTTTAAAAGAACAGATCTGGACAGGAAGGCACGCAGTGCCTTTGCTCTGCTGGCTAATTTCTCTGGAGGAAGGCTTCCCAGCAATGGAAGGCTGCAAACAGAAAAGATATCAGGACTGTCCAATATATATTGTCATGGATTGGAGGAAAGGGGCTCAACTATATGAGGAACAACACCGTGATCACACAAAATAAGCCAGTGGTTATACAAGGAGGCTGGGACCCACAGGTACTGTAACTGGTGAGCTGCAGGCTGCTATTCAGTCTGACTGGGAGTGCACTGTTCTGAACCAGTGACCAGCACCATGGATCTGTCAGCACAAACTCACCCACGGTTAGGATCATTGTGCAGCAGCCTCCAGAAAGGTGGGGATCATTGTGCAGCAGCCTCCAGAAAGGTGGGCACCACACCGTGTAGCTCACCTGCAGTCTGCCACATCAGCCTGCTGCACAGACAGCTCAGCAGCCAAGCCAGTCTGACTGATCGCACATGGAAGAGTTCATCTGAACACACACAACCACCACTAGCCTGGACTCCTGAATTCAGGTAAACAGTCTTCAAATCATAGCCAGACAAGTTTACAGGCTGGGGGCAAGGGGCTGAAGGGGTGGGAGGGCAGAAATACTGCCTGCGAGAACCTCACAATAGAAGTGCCTGCCCATACAAGGGAACTTCAGGTTGTTTTCCTAGGCTGCGATGACTTAGCATTGCCGCTAAAGTCATTAGACAGTCTCTGAAAGGGAACAAAGGTTCTCTAATAAAACGTATAGTTCACAAGCACACACACTAAGCACCATCACTGCATCAGAAGCTACATACAATGCTCAAGTTTTGCTTAAACAGCTAAGGGAGAGGAGGCCTCTCACTCTCGGCTCTGCAGCAGACTCCTTTGCAACCAACATCACTGTGCTCTCTCCATCTCTTTTACCACCTGGGAAGTAACTTCCCTACTAAGTAAGGATGCTGGGAAATTCAGTGCAAAGTGTTTCAGGGTTTTCCAATATACAGTATTATCAGACTGGAAAGCCCTGTGTGACATTCCT